GAGAGAGAGAGAGATTCGAATTATAATCTATTTAATCCCTTATAATTAATTATAATTCAATCACAATATTTTTCTCTAAATAGCGATTCACAGTATCTTTAATAAAAGAAGATATAAATAATAGTCAAAACTGATACCGCTTACAGCGAATTTTGTACGAGAAACATACATATTTCGAATATTTTTACGCGATATATTCGTGTCTGTTGATTTATGCAATATAGAATTGTTTTTTTCTCTACACTTTGTTTAAACGTTTCTAAAATCTAACGAATTTATATCTAGATGAACATATAAAATATATATAACAACACATACATAACACTTATAATATTTACATAGAAAAAAACATTTTTATTAAAATATCTACAAATCTATACAGATCCGAATATAATTTTGTTAGAATTATCAAAATAATTATGTACGATGTTCATCAAATTATTTGCTAAAGTAAATAAAATTTTTGCAATATTATCATCATACTTAAGTGTCCTATACTATTAATAATTTTAATAGTCCAAGATTATTTTCAAATATCTATACCTGACTAAATTTTTAGATACTTCAGCAGGATTGTTTTTTCTATGTAAATAAATTATAAAAAAGTAATATTTAAATATTACTTACGTTTGAATTTATATACAGAATTTTCCTGACTCGCTGATACGATCGAAAAGAGGATCATTAAAAATTATTATTAAGACAAATTCGACAATTTACATCGCATGAATAAACATATTATCAAGTTGCTGATTTTCAAACTTTTTTTTAAAATTATGCTCTGTATGCAAATATTTTATTTTTTATCTTCGATCTTTTTTTAAGAAAAAAAAAGAGAGAGAATAATTATAATCTTTTCGGTCGTATCACCGGTTCGGAAGCATCCTGTACAAAACATACGTGCTGGATCTTTAATCTTTATGAATATGCAGAAATGTGTAAAAATATATTGTATAAAATGTGCGCAAGCAATTTTGTATTAAATAAATAAATAAATTGTTGCGCATATTCTATACAGAATAAGAAAGCATACGAAGAGAGCAGCATATATCCCCGATCCGGGATGTAAGACTTACGTATGAGTAGCTTGGTATCCAGAATGATTTCGTTGTTGGACCTCTCCTCTGCACGCAAGGCTTCCTCTTGTAAATCTATCCAACGAGAAACGCACACTCTACCATTCGAGATGGCTCGGCTTGCCCCGACAACGAGATTTTAGAGATTTTAACACTTTTATCAGACTCGCGCGATTCACCTTTTCACGGTGGAGTAAAAATGGAGTGCGCGGAGCATTCAACAACGGAACCAAACGGCGAGGCTCTTTACCGCAATCGGGCGGGACAAGTCGCGATACTGTACCGACGACGACTTCGATTCATCAAAATTCGTGAAAATTCGTCCGAGAGGATCGATACGTTAGGAACGGATTCACTTCCTTTCTTATTCTTCGCTCTTCCTTGTTTCCCTGTCCGTCAAACTGCAGGTAGATAGGTTCGAGCGAAGACCGCTGTAAATCACGAAGAAGGATTCCCGTAAAAAGTCCTTGACCTAACCCAGGCTCTCCTCCTGTGCCTCTTCGATCTCTGTTGTCCTCGAACTTCATTCATCAGTATTTCCATGGACTTCATGGACCAATAACACTCGAAGCTCCGTTTCGGAATGGCTCGTTCACCGGATGACCTACTTCCTTCTTTTCTTCGATATGCATGAACTTCCGTTTCGTCGGTAATTTTGCTTTTAGCGTAGCTAATTCAACTTTGTTTTTTCTCCCTATCTTAGTTTTCACAGCTCAAAAGCTCAAAGAGAATATAATAAATCACTAATATAACTTGATATCGTTAAATTAAAATCATGGATAAACGTCGACTTTGATGAATCGGATTCAAGAGGATCCTTGTCTCTGTCTTGAATTCTCGACACATACCATATATATATATATATATATCACACTAGTCCGTCATGACAATCGCTCCACGCGAAAATCGCGACCGATGAAAATCACGCGAAAATCCTATTCACGTGTCCACTGTCACAAGAACATCCCCAGGGAAATAATTCGCGAAAGTGTTCCTTCCGCGACACGCGGCAATCGTCGTGTTCGTCGATGTTCGTGGTGAAGGAGAGTTCGTACACCGAGAGCGAGTACACCACGGGCTCTGGATGCCCTTTCGGTGTCACGCGGAAAAGACACAGGCGCCTCACCGGCGATTCACCGTTCAACGTGGTGAACGAGAGCTCGACTCTAAGTCCCGAAAGTAGACCAAGTAGAAACGTGCTGTCTGGCTCGTAAGCCCTTACTGTAGTGGGCCTTATGATACGAACCGACAGGGACCGAGAGGCCTCGATACAACTATCCGGGAGGACGGAGGACCCCCCACTCATCGCCGCGTGTTTGTTCCTCCCGCTCCGTTCGCACTCTGCCAGTCGCGCCGCTGCTCTTCTTCCGCTATTTACCGACGTGCTTTCCACCACCCTATACCGCACTCCCGTGCTACCCTGTTCGTCATTCCATCTCCTCGTATCCGCGATACTGTCATATGGACCGATCTTGGTAACGGTGTCTCATTGGGTAGCTTGGGTAGCTTCCCTGTTACCAGATTATTTTGGGGTCGGCCCACTACAAGTTCCTCAATTTGTATTAATTATTACTAATGACCATGATCCATTACTTCTTATCGTAATAGGAATCATTCGAATCATAGGGAAACATGTAACTCAAAAAATATATTATTAAAGAGCTATTGAATATATGAATTATCAGTATCAGTTGGGTATACTCATCGAATTAGAATTTAGAATTATAATTAATTTCATAACGAAAGAAATATAAATTTTGGAAATGCCTCTCTAACTCCACTCCACTAATAAATTCGATAAAAAAATATAAATTTAAAGAAATTTAAAGAAAAAAAATATAAATTTTTGAAATATTTCTTTATTATTGTTGCTTCAAATTTTTTTAGTAAATAATAATTGCCTATCAAACATCAAATGAATTATATCAAATAAATTTTTAAAAATAATAAAATATATTTTATTACACATTTAAATTTCATTTTATGTAATTAAAAAATTTTTAATTTGCAATTTAGGATTATGGATTATATGTACGTCATATATATATATGTCGTATATCGAAAAATATTTAAAAAAAATTACATAAACTATTTTATTATTTTTTTAAATATTTATATAAAAACTTAACAAAAAAAAAGCTCTCTTTCAAATTTTAATAATTTTTACTAAAATTTTTTGCAAGCAAAACATCTTTAAATATATCATCTGTGTAAAAGAGCTCATTGTGGCACGTAACATATAATTAACAACGACATTTTTAAGTTTTAATATCTTTTTATTTTGGCCATTCGACTGGCAGAACTTTGTTCACAGCAGCGGAATTATTGGGTCGAAAAAATAAGGACGGCTCGCAATGACGATTCGAGCGAATCGATTCGCTTTCGACGGAAGTTTCCTCGTCATTTTTAAACGTTGTTTCACGTTATTATTAACGACGACAAACGGAGGAGAACGCTAAGATTAAAATTCAAACGCAAGAAAAATGAGGCGCGCAATCCGAGGCGCTGTTTTCGTAAAGCGATGCAACATGAACATGTGAATGTAAATGTAACGTCGTGAATACATATTGACCAACGAAGAATTCGTTCTCCCGGCGGCGCGTTCGCGTTTTGAGTTTAATTGGCAGAAACGAGATTTCGAAATGTTACACAGTTACCTTCACTAATAACGCCGTGCGATGAGAAGGAGAGGGGCGATTAGCGAAGAAAGATAATGTGAATAAGCAGCAAGCCGCAGCGGGCGGCGAATGGAACACGCCTTAGATAAGATAAATGGTGGATGCCGAAAATTATTGCATCTTTATCGATGTATCACGTTAAGATCACATTAAGAATAGATTAAACTAATGTTTAAGGCATTTTAAGATATTCCAAAATCTTTTTGTCGAAAATTTTATTCGATAACGTGTTTGTCGTTTATAATGGATAAGGGACCAATCAAAAATATTTGTTTAAAGGTTTGGAATCAACAAATAAAATTTCTCTCGAAAATAGATATGTGTGTGGTCTAAGAAAGTATTGCATAAAAAAATAAGTTTATAAACTGATTTATTTCGTGCGCTTATACGGACAGACATTGATATTTATAATTATAAATAAAAAAAATAACTTGCAATGAATCAATTAGTATAATTACTAATGAAAATTAATTATTAATAATATTCCAACCCCTCTCTCTCCTCCTCTCTCTCTCTCTCTCTCTCTCTCTCTCGTTACTTTGTTTACGAGTGGAGTAAGTCGATTTTGCCCAAGACACATCACGCATTCCTTCGCTATTTCGCGAATTTAACACGTTCGTTCATTATCAGTCCTATTTCCCGTCGCCATTAACGATACACACGGGAGAAATAAATCTAAGATGGTATTAATTGTAATTTCGCTCCTCTTTTATAGCTCCTCTTCTTTACATAATTCTATTACATAATTTTTATTATGTGGTGTTATATTAGAATCTAAATGATTATATGAATCCACAATTGTTTCCTCCGCGGTTAATCAAATTTACAACCTATTTATCAAATGTATTCCTACGAAACGAATAGGTTTACATAAATGATAGCGTGAACGAATATAATTTTTGCATAAATATAAATTTATATTTATAACAATGCATAATTAATTTATTGTGATATATTATTATTTCTTTCTTTAGCAGAAATCTTAAAGAATTTTAGCAAGCAACATTCTATGTTAAGTAAGTATGTTAACCGGTTACTTATAGGCTTATAAAGACCTTATCTATAACAGATGTGTTGAATAGCTATTCGGTGACCGAGATACCTGGGATACCTAAAATATGAAATTCCTATTGACCCTTTCTGCAGTGTCCCATAAAAAAAACTTCTGTTATGTCCCTACTGCCCTGGAAGACGAATCGTTTTACAGTTACTTTGTTAGCCTATTTTGCGTCTTACTCAGGAACGAACAGGAAAAGTAAAGATCGTTCAAATTTTTTTGAAAAAAAAAAATGAAAAAAACGAAACGAAATGAAAAAGAAAAATGAAAAGAAACATTTTAGGCCAATTCTCGGCAAGCAGGATCCTGCTAAATTTTTATGAAATAAATTTTTTTAAAAATAAATTTAAATAATAATATCACCATAACTACTTAGTGTCACTTAGTTTAACAGATTTTCAACGTAGTGGTTCTATAATAATTTGAAAATCAAATATTTTTAATATCGATTAAAATCTCTTTTTATTATTCCCATGGGAATAAAAAAATTTATGTTTAAAATAGAGGAAATGTGGAAAATGCAAAATCGAAGGAAATTTTTTCTGAAAAAATTATATAAAATCTCGGAAAATTCTCGGAAAACATTCACGTACAAAATGTCCGCGTATATATCCGCGTCAGAACATTTCTCGAAAAATTTGCTAAAGGATGAAGAAAAAGAGCGTATTAGTGAATTCGTTAACCCGTTACCGATGTCGCAACAGCGGCAGAATAACGGGCGCGCTCGCCGCGTATCGCAATCATTTGCGTCACGCTAATTGTTGTATAACTTTCGGTTTGGCCGTCGATGCCGCCACCCTAAGATCGCGGCGGAAGTATTAGTACGGACGCTCTCCCACTTCTTTTTACATTTTCTTTCTTTTTTCTTTTATTTTCTTTTCTTGACGCTATGAAAACGCGATGAATTACACGTGCGTGTACCGAATGGCGGTCGCGCTTCGAAGAGGGTCCTCTTTCCGACTATCCGAAGAAGCGAAGCCCCACTTCTGACGAAACAGTCGGTTACACTTTCGTTGCTGCGACTAGTGGTACCACTCGACCACCTTCTTCCTACGTGAGAATTGACGGAAGCAGACAGACCACTTCGCCACGCATTACTGTATCCGATATATTAAAAAAAAAAATTGAACATCCTATCTTGCAGATAAACAGAAATATGTAAAATTATTTGTTAATGATAATGCTATGATAATGAATTTTTATCTACTTAAATAATCTAGTGAATTACTTTGTATACTTTGTCGAAACCTTGATTCAAGAAATTTTAGTTTCGTCTTATTGTTAAAAGTTTAATATTGACGAATAGCTATTGATAATGATATAAAAATCTATATAGATATACGTAAGCGAACGATGATAGAATAATAATATTGAATTTCTAAAGTTTGAGAAATACATACGTCATTAGAAATGCAAATGGAATAAATGCAAACAGAAATTTTTATTTGCACTTTGTATATCTGTATCTAATCAAATTTTTAGATTTGCCAACAAAATTATGTACCAATATATATTTTCTTTCATTTGAAAATATTAAAAACTATGTTATTTTGTTTACAGTTTAATTTTTTAATAATTCAAAATATATATTTCATATTCCAAATAATATAAATATAAAAAGTAATATAAAAAATATGTTCTTTTTTAAATTTCAACTTTGCTTGTGCAGCCGATACTATTGTACATCCTTGACTGTTAAGTGTGAAAATTATCCTATGGAGAAAAGACTATGTGTGAAATTATTCGAAAAATGCTTTCATCCGTTATATGGATTTCGTAACATCAGCTAAAAAGCTGACATTACATGGACTTGCGTA